GGGTATGTTGTTCTCTGAAATGTAAAGCCTCCCACATGCAAAGTTTATAGTATGCCAAGTTTAAGATTTTTGGTATTTGGAGATTAAAATCAGCTGTGGTGTTAAACCTGTTACAGGGTCTCCAGAAGTTGCGATAACAGGCCAAGTTCTGGAAAACTTGCCCCCCATTGGAGTCTTCTGGGATATTGAAAACTGTTCAGTTCCCACCGGCCGTTCAGCTGTAGCAGTTGTACAGAGGATTCGTGAAAAGTTTTTTAAAGGTCACAGAGAAGCAGAATTCATCTGTGTGTGTGATATAAGTAAAGAAAATAAGGAAGTTATTCAAGAGCTAAACAACTGCCAGGTATCAAAACAGCATCTACTTGGTGTTCTTGCTTGAGAATTTGTGTACTCTGAGTGTGCTGGTGGTGATTCCTGTTCACTAGAGCTTTGTGTTAGCTTCTGTGGCTTTTAGTGCATGAGCTTAAAATTAGTTTATGGGTGGGGTCTTTAATGCTTACAATTAGATTATGGGTCAGGGTGTTTAATGCTGAAGTTTCCTGGTCTGATATTTTTTAAAACTGAAACTGCATTCCATTACATGTAGATTACTGTTTTAGCTTTAGTTTTAGTGTTCACAGAGAGTTTTTATTTCATCCAGTAATAAGCAGTGGTAGGATTTCTAATGTTATTCTTCAAATCTGTGACTAAATCATTAACCTAAAAGAGCTATGATTCTCTGAACTTAACTTTTGGTTTACTTCTGTTAGTGAATACCATGCTGATTACTGAGTACACATATAAATTAGTGGTATTGATTTGGGCACCTTTACCACTACGTATTTTTCCATCAATACCTTTTGTTTCTTGGTTGTTTTGTTTTTGTTTTTTTTTTACTTTTTGTGCAGGTTTTTAAGTCAGAAATTCCCTTCCTACCCCCTAAATTGCAGATATGATAACAGATTGACAGTGTATCTCCTTATGTGAGGTAAAATGCATTGATAGTGAGTGCTTGCTAGGTTAGTCACCCCTTTATCTCAAATGAGGGTTTATGGAATGTTTTTGGTAGCAGCATATACTCTCAGAGAATGCAAAGCATGTAAATTGTGATCTTTAACACAGAACAACAGAAGTCATCCCTAAGCCACTGCTGAACAACAAGAGTTGAAGCTTAGTGCTCGTAAGAACAATTTGTGATCCATACATGGTGTATTTAATGTATTTGTGCATTAATTTATCTGTCTAACAGAAGCATGTGAAAGCTTCTGTTCCTGCTATTTTTTAAAAAAACTAAACTTAAGCAAACATAGTTCACATTCAAACTCTTCTTTAGAGTGTGTTTTTATATTTCCACAGGTGACTGTTGCACACATCAATGCTACAGCAAAGAATGCTGCTGATGACAAACTCAGACAGAGTCTTAGGAGATTTGCTGATACACACACCGCACCTGCCACTGTGGTTCTTGTGTCAAGTAAGTGTTTGTGGTACTCACCTACAGCACATAATTCAGTTCCTCTCTTCATTGGTGCTTTTGCATATGGTGCTATTCTGCTTTCCAAGGCTTGTGTTAAGAATCAGCTTTAACTGAATTGCTCAAGGATTCTTAATGATATCAGTGGCAATAAGGGAAAAATAGGGACAGTAAGCTGAGAACTTGGCTTAGTTAAATCGGCATTGGAATCTGATGTCTCGTTGAGTGTCAGTAGGTATGTGTATAAATACTGTCTAAAGTTAGACAGCTTCAGCAAGAAGCTAATAAATAAAACTTGTTGAATCTTCCTTATGATAATCTTTCAGAAGGTTTTGAGCAAGATGTATTTGATTTGGTTTTTATTCTTGCAGCAGCACACTATACAGTTAAAAATATGCAAGACACTCGACTATTTAATTGCTGTGTGTTGCCTTGGGCTTCTCCCTAAAGCTAAGCAAATGTTTCTTACAGAAGTATGCAGCACCAGTCAAAGGCCCTGCTGATAAATTTGTAGATGTTGCTATTAAAAAGTTGCTTGTCTGTGAGACTGAGTGCTAACTGCTGATTTAAATTATGTCTGAGAAGCCTTGTAGCTGTTGGTGCTCTTTCATTGGAAATTTTCAGTGATAAATAGAAATGGTCAGGTCTGTGTGGGTTTGTTTGGGGTTTTTTTGCTTTTTCATGTGTTTTCATGTTCATTTTAATTCTTCCCCCAGCGGATGTAAACTTTGCTTTGGAACTCAGTGACCTGAGACATCGACATGGTTTTCGGATAATTTTGGTACATAAAAACCAAGCTTCAGAAGCACTCTTGCATCATGCCCATGAACTTATTTGTTTTGAAGAATTTATTTCAGACTTGCCACCAAGGTTACCGCTGAAAATGCCGGTGAGGTTTTTAATTCTTAATGCAACAGAAATTTCAAAGTGTCAACCTCCTTTTTTTCCTCTATTTTCCTAATTTAAGAGGAGAGCAGGCTCAAGTTGTGTGTGGGTTGATTTTTTGGGGGTTTTTTTTTGGAGATGGAAGTTTAAAGATCTACCTTGGTATGAGAGTTTTCCAAACAAACTGAATGCTGCAAAAAGAGCATTACATGGGGGTGGGGGGCAGAAATGTGGAGCATGTGTCACTAGAATCAATGCAAAAATACTGATTTTGAACAAGAGGTGTTCTGACACAATCAAATTAAAATCTTACTCCCTTTAAACAGGCATGCCATACACTATTATATGTTTATAATCTGCCAACAAACAGAGACAGCAAAAGTGTCAGTAATAGACTCAGGCGTTTGTCGGACAACTGTGGAGGGAAGGTGCTGAGCATTTCTGGAAGCAGTGCAATTCTCCGGTTTTTAAATCAAGAAAGTGCTGAACGGGCTCGGAAGCGAATGGAAAATGAAGATGTTTTTGGTAACAGAATTGTAGTGTCTTTTACTCCCAAAAACAAAGAACTTAATGAAACAAAAAGCTCCAGCTTTGTGGGAACTGAAAAGGTGAAGTCTCCCAAAAAAATTAACAAGAACACAAAGCTGTGCCTCCTCAACAAAGACTCAAGTGAGTCTTCTGGTACCAAAGGCTCTGCTGGGAGAGGATTCCAGATTCATGGGTCTATCATCAAACCCACAAATGTTAAAAGTTTACAGGTATTGTTCCACCCTGTTTAATATTCTTGCTGTTCTTCATATTCTCAGGATTGCTTCTGTTAAAGCTTTATCTTTAGCTTGTCAGTCCCATTTAATGGATAACTGTAATGTATAGTGACATTCCCAAAAAAGAGCTGCATTCATTTGCTTGTAAAGCAGACAATGAATTTGAGGGTAGTTTTTCCTCATCCCTGCACCTTTTTCTCAGTTTGGAAATACTCCTGGTACTTACTGAGTCTTGAATCCTAGGCCAGTGTTGACTTTTGTGTTAGTGTTGAGTATAACATACAGAGCGATCCACTTCTAGTTTTAAGGAAAGCTAGGGTAGATCTACAGTGTAGCAAAAATATTTCTACTGACTGACAGTTTGCTATTTTTTGTCACAGAAAATAAAATATTCCTGGTTATGAAGTGCCAATGAAAATACTGTTAAAGAAAAATTTGTCAGTTATCTAGGTTTCTATCAGAAGGAAAGCCTCTGGCAAGGAATGTCTGGTGCTTGTATGCTGACCTTTTTTCTGTTTCATGTAGGAGCTATGCCGCCTTGAATCGAAGACCATCAGTAGAAATATTGAAAACCAGCAAGAACATTTAAGAGAACAAATTCCTTCTCCTCAGAGTAACTCTAATGCAGCAATTCCTGTGTCCCTGGCAACCAAAAAAATTGTAATGGGAGAATCATCCTGTAAAAGTAGTCAGAAGTATGTTTGAAAATAAAGATGTCGGGTAGCTACAATTTCTTTAATGTGAATTCTGCATTCTAATGTGTTTTTTTTCTTGCATATATTTTTAAATAGAAAAGAGACCTCCGCTTCCAGGAGCGTTACCAATTCCCCTGTAGATAAAAAAGATAAAGATGAAACTGTATTTCAAGTCAGCTATCCCTCTGCTTTCAGTAAGTTGACGGTCTCGAGACAACTCAGTCCTTTACTCATGTCCCAGAGTTGCTGGTCATCTCGGTAAGTGTCTGTTTTATTTGGGAGGTGAAGTGAGACTTCACAAATACATACAGTGATTATTGACAGTTGCACAGGGAGTTGTGTGTGCTAAACACATGAATACACTGATTTAGGTGGAGTCAAAAGGAAACTGTGATGGTGCTGCATAACAGCTAACAGAGGGTGGATCATCTCAGAGGTCTTTTCCAACCAGGCAATTCTATGATTCTCTAAGAGGAAGCAAACTCTCTTAGAAACTTACTGTGTAGCAATTGTTTCCTGCAAAAATTGTCTTTAAAGATTCTAAAAAATCTTCAGAGGCATCATAGACATCTTACTCCTTAATTTCAGTGCCTTTGACATCCCCAGTAGCAATTTATCCAGGCCCGTTAAATTCTTGTAGACTTAAATATCTGGCCTTTGCCAATTACTAAAATCATGTGAGTGAGTTTGACTTTTAAAATATGTTAATTAAGATAGTAGAAGACTTAGTGTCAAATATATTATTAAATTGGGAGACTTTGAAACATATAAATTATTTCATTTCTTCTCATAGGAAATATTTGTCTTGTTGTGATGTTTTCTTGTGGTGAAACTTGTTTTGCCTGCACACACATGTATTAAGAAATTACCTTCTAAGTGCTGTATTTGTGCATTTGACCTGTGTCTATTTTCTGATTAATTTTGAGGTGCATAAATATCAGAATTGTGCAACAGCTACTTTAGCTCATGAATGTTTTTATTTTACTCAGGAGTATGTCTCCAAACCTCTCAAACAGATCATCACCGCTCACATTTAATGTAGTAAATCATACCAGTGGTACAACAGACTGCCCTGATCCTTTTGCAAATGGTGCAGACGTTCAGATCAGCAATATAGATTACAGATTGTCCAGAAAAGAGTTGCAGCAAAATTTGCAAGACATTTTCTCAAGACATGGCAAGGTAAAGGCTAAAATAACTTAATAAAGTCTGTTTTTTAAATCTTCCTGATTATGTATTTATGGACATGTTTGTCTGTGTTTAAGTGAGTAGGAATGGGAAGCTATCTGAACATGACTTTTAAACTTTGTTAAAAGGAGGTATTGTGTTTTTCCTGTAAAAAGACCAGATCCTCACTTGCACAAAGTTCTGAATTTGTATGTGGTCTTCATAGATCTGGTATGCCCAAGTTTTGTATATAGTATTCTTAGAACATGACTTATTAGTTATGCAGGGAAGAGGCTTCGGCTTTAGCTGCATAACCTTTTTAAGCTGTAAAGCTGAATTCCTAATGTCACCTTAAAAATCAGAGTGAAAATTCAGTTTCTGTTTTGAGTTGGAAATGATCAAAAACAGACATGGAGGGTGTGAATCAGTAAAAAGCAACTATGCAAGGTGAGGTCACTTCTGCAGCAATCCTGTTTCTGCCTGATCTGTGGCTGACATTGTTCTGGCATAATCTTCCACATGGGAAGATGATGCTTGTGTTAAAGGACTGTCATGGTCCATTGCACTCTGTTCTTGTTTACATTCTCCTGTTGGCCATGGTTCATTGTCCTTTGTTCCCTTTTGCATTGTATTAGACTCTTGGCCAAAGGAAGACTGTTACTCTCATGTTGACTTGCCTTGCGTTACTATTTTGTGATAAATGTATAAGGTGTTTTCTTCCTTTCAGGTAAAAAGTGTAGAGCTCAGTCCTCATACAGACTACCAGCTGAAGGCTATAGTTCAGATGGAAAATCTGCAAGAAGCAATCAGTGCTGTCAACACTCTTCACAGATACAAAATCGGTGGTAAAAGAATCCAGGTCTCTTTAGCAACAGGAGCTGCTAGTAAATCTCTCTCCCTACTTAGGTAATAAGCACTTTGGCATCTTGTTAATTGTTCTAGCATGTATTTAGTAGCTGAGAGATGATTTAAAACACTGAGCAAAGGAATGATAGGGAAATAAAGTAAAATCTATCTTATGACCTGATGAATATGCTAAATACAACTAGGCTAGTTTTCAGTTCAGCATTTTTACACTGCTTATATTTTAAGTTGCATCTGAAGAGACTAGATCTCTGTTTAATAGTGTTTAATAGCTGCACCACTACTCTTTCATAACACTGATATACCTCCATAACTTGGTTTGTGCATCTGAGTTAAGATTACTCTTGGCATCTTTACTTCTTTCCTCCAAGCAAGCACATACAAATTGTCTCTCTGAGGATGGGATGCACAGTTTAAATGCTCTTGGTGTTTCTTTGATCTCCATTTTCTATATGGAATATAATAGAACTAGTTTGCTGATGCTAGTGAGAATACAAGTATTTTCTGTTTCAATTTTTTCCTTACTGAAAGAAAGCATTAGGAAAAAAGTTGTCTTCATTTTTTTTCATTGAAAGCTCCAGTGAAAACAATGCTTGGAGTGTCGAGTATTCTACAATTATGCACTACTTGCCATTGTATAGTTTACAACTTTATTTCCTTCTTGCCTTTTAGTTTGTGCCTGTTCAAAGTTCTTAGTGTAATGACCAGGCTGGGAACTTCTAGTGCTGCATTTTATAGATGATCAAAATCTTACCACTACCTATGAAAGATGCAGCTCCTTCAGAGACGTTACCTAGATGAGCAGAAATGTTACTGCTTGCACTCACCTGATCTGAAGTGTCAACTTCTGTAGTGTTGGGATGGAAAGGAATGCTGATTGTCCTCTTATGTTTATATTGCATAAACTGCATCTGTAAATATCACGCCCATTTGGGATGAAGACTGCCTCTTTCTAATACTAACAGATTAATTTTGTACTAATGTTACAAAACTTCTTTCATAGCTCAGAAGCGATGTCCATTCTGCAGGATGCACCTGCTTGTTGTCTGCCTGTATTCAAATTCACAGAAATCTATGAAAAAAAGTAAGTTCTCAGGTGTTATTTTTTTCTCTAATACTTCTAAAAAGAATCTGATCTTGTGTGATTGTTTATAGTGAAATACAGAAAGTAACAGAATGGAGCGTTATGGGTTTCTTGTCGTTAGATGTTGCAGCATGTTAACTATCCAGTGGCAGTGACTGTAATACTGGCCTTTCTTAGAGGGTTATACTTTCAGTATTTTAATTCATTTTTCTCCATTGGGATGAATAGTTAAATAACATTTTGCATAGATTAGTTTTGAGCATATTCCTGTTCATTAGACAAAAAAGGCAGATTACTGCATCCTCTAACTGCATTTATAATGTGTATTTATTTCATATTTTTCTTTTAGATTTGGGCATAAGGTACTTGTGTCAGACTTATATAAACTAACGGATACTGTGGCAATCCGTGACCAAGGAGGTGGGCGGCTGGTGTGCCTTTTACCCAGCAGTCAAGCCCGGCAGAGTCCACTGGGATCTTCACAGTCCCATGATGGTTCATCAGCAAACTGCAGTCCTATAATATTTGAAGAGTTGGAATATCACGAGCCTGTTTGTAAGCAGCATTGCCTGAATAAAGACTTTATGTAAGCTGTGTATAAAATACTATAAAATCTTACAAAATATTTGAACAGAATTTAATACTTACAGGTATATTAAAGCTGAGGTATATATGTTCATATAATATTCCCAGTCACTGTTTGTATGTGTACAAGAATAAGTCAGGCAGAAAATATTGAGATGGCACAGTGGATTTTCTAAGCAGTTCTTGTGGATAAGTCTGTTCAGGTAAGATTATTGTGTTCTAGCACAGCTACCAAGAATGAGTGCCTCCTGAGCAGAAGCTGCAACATACACTACCTTCTTCTGCTTATATAGGAAGGTTATACATACTAGAGACTTCTATTAGCTTTGATTTTATTACATAATTATAGCTGGAACTGATCATTCTCCTTTGCCCTCCAGCTACATTTAGTAAGTGATTCATAATGGGTTGAAGATTTCCTGAAGCTATATATTAAGTTTTTTTTAAAAACAGCAGACAGGTTGTGCTACTAGAGTAATTATTAGGTGTTCACTGTTAACTGCCAGGTATGTACTGCTGAAACTTAATTTGAAAATTTTAATCTAATGATAATAAAAATGTGGTCTTTGAAATGTGGCTTGTCTTCTGGAAATTTGCTGTAGCTGTATTAATTTTTGTGAAGAAGAAAAGATGAGAGTTGGTTGCGACTGTCCATAGTGATATTGTCAGCTAGTAGCAGTGTATCACATGCATATGGTATGTTTGCTGTGGGTGTGTGTGTGAGCACAGGCATACTATACTAATGCTGTGTGTAGAATGAGCATATGAAATTCAACCTTTTGTTTTTTACAGTGAGCATGAGTTTGATCCAGATTCTTACAGAATTCCTTTTGTGATTTTGTCTCTGAAGACATTTGCTCCCCAAGTTCACAGTCTTCTACAGACACATGAGGGTACTGTGCCTTTGCTAAGGTAAAGGATTTTAATTTAGGCTTTTAGTATAAGGGCTGATAGGTTAAAGATTTTAAACTTTATTGATGGCTGTTGTAATGCTCTGAAACAACCTGTTGTATAAAAACTCTAGTTCTTATATAAGGTGATATATTTTATAGCAAATAAATGCTTATGAAATTATTACTTTTTTAATTCTTGTTGAGCAAAAAAATAAAAACCACACTTATTTAAAATGTGTTTTATGAAGACTTCTGTAATGTGTTAGTAAGCTGTAACCTCTTGCTCAGGAAGTGTCTCAAAATAATGATATTTTTAGGACAATGTTATAGTAGTATTTTAGTGTATAATGAAAGCTTTTTTTCTTCCAAAGTTTTCCTGATTGTTATATGTCAGAGTTCAATGATCTTGAAATGGTGCCAGAAGGCCAGGGTGGTGTTCCTTTAGAACATCTAATTACCTGTGTTCCTGGAGTTAACATTGCCACTGCACAAAATGGCATTAAAGTTATTAAATGGATACATAATAAACCACCACCTCCTACTACAGGTAAATATTTCTATTTAAAATCTTTCCTCTGAACTAGTCTTTCTGCTAAAAAAATGAGTAGCATAAAGTAAACATCTCGTGTAATTGTTAAACTTTTTTTGAAGAGAGACTTTTTCTTGAATTTGTTTTTCTTTTTCCTCTCCTGTGCTCTAGCCTGTGTCATAAATAAAGTGTAGTGTTTGGAAGAATATTAGTGTAAAGTTCAGTAATATGATTTTATTTCTTTTGTAGATCCTTGGCTTCTACGTTCTAAGAGCCCTGTAGGTAATCCACAACTTATTCAGTTCAGTAGAGAAGTGATAGATCTACTTAAAAGCCAACCATCCTGTGTCATACCTGTCAGTAAATTCATCCCAACATACCATCATCACTTTGCAAAACAATGCCGTGTGTCTGACTACGGGTATTCTAAATTAATGGAGCTGCTAGAAGCGGTGCCTCATGTACTTCAAGTGAGTTATATGGCACTGTTCTTTTTAACTTGGGGAATTGTACATGTGTATTCAACTGTCTGAATTACTGGTTGGTATTGTATAATATATGCTATGCAATTACCTTGTCCACCTGGAAAGAGATGGTTAACTGAACCTTGGAGTGTAGTTGTCATCTTTTTGAGATGTTGTTCCTGTTTTGTTGTCTTTATTTTCCCCACCATTCTAAAACAACTCCCAGGGGAAATTAACTCTTTAGGTTTTTTTAATCTAAGCCTCTGGAATAAAGTTCGAAGCTGTTTCTAGCCTGTGGCTAGTGCTTTGGTAAAAGGTTTTAATTGTGCTGTTTATCATAAGAACACAGCCAGTGCTGAGTGCTTGTAAGTTAGGCTGTGATATGTAGCTTGTAACTTGAAGGATTTCTGTCTGAAATGAGTCATTGTTACAAAAAAGAAACGCTATGGTCACGTTAGCTTACTACTTTGAACACCAGTTGGTTGTAGAATTTTAAAATAACCAATACAAATATGCAGCAATTGCAACAGCATTCATGGAGGAAGCATTTCATAATTCCTTTGACATATACCTTAGTACAGAAACTGTATGGCTTTGAGACTTCCTTTCCAAACACTGTATCTATTATATCCTTTATTTCTAGCCTACCTATACTAGAATGGCTTCTTAATATCTAGTAAAACAATATACTGAGGATGCTAGTGATCAAATTGTTTTCTTTCAGATTCTTGGTATGGGTTCCAAACGCTTGTTAACTCTAACACACAGAGCTCAAGTGAAGCGCTTTACTCAAGACTTACTGAAGCTTCTCAAATCCCAGGCCAGTAAGCAAGTTATTGTGAGGGAATTCTTACAGGCTTATCACTGGTAAGTTATCTTTAATGAAACAAGAACTGTGCAGGGCATGTCTATCAAGAGTGGTTTTAAAACCTAGTGCAAGAGGAGGAGTCAGCACTTTAAATCTTAGTACAAAACTGTGGCAACTATATTGCCTCTTCATTGTGATGTGAAAGTTCAAACTTCTAATGAAAAAAAAAAAGTAAAAAGCTCTCTGTCAGACTTTACTGCTTCCTTTAGTCTAGGTTCTTTTAACTTTATTGGGATTTGAAATGGGTTATTGTATTTCATTAGTTCCATTTGAAGCCATGACTGCAAGGTTAGTTTTAAGAAAGCAGGTCATGGCACATCAGCATGAACAATAAAGAGAAAATCTATTATTAGGCTTTCTTTAGAGGGGAATATAAAATAAACTGTCAATAGATACTCTTACTACTTTAACTTGGTCTAGCAGTGGTGCAAAAATAGGAGGAGTGTTGCCTGTCTTGCTGTTGCTGGGAAGAACATTCTGTTCTAGCATGGCAAAAAGTAGATTTTTTTAAATTCTTTTTTAAAAAGAACCAATAATGATGCTTTCTATAATACGAAGATAGAAAGTAATACTTTGTATTGGTCTGTCTGAGGTGGAGTTAATTTTCCCCATAGCAGCCCTCGTAGTTTTGTGTTTTACATTAGTAGCTAGAAAGGTGTTGATAACACACCAGTGTTCTGGTGACTGCTGAGCAGCGCTCGCACAGCATCAGGGCTGGCTCTCTAATGTTTCCAGTTGGCTGGGGGTGGGAAGGATCTTGGGAGGGGTCAGAGCCAGGGCAGCTGACCCAAACTGACCAAAGGGATATTCCGTACCATATGACAAACTTGGTCTAGCAGTGGTGCAAAAATAGGAGGAGTGTTGCCTGTCTTGCTGTTGCTGGGAAGAACATTCTGTTCTAGCATGGCAAAAAGTAGATTTTTTTAAATTCTTTTTTAAAAAGAACCAATAATGATGCTTTCTATAATACGAAGATAGAAAGTAATACTTTGTATTGGTCTGTCTGAGGTGGAGTTAATTTTCCCCATAGCAGCCCTCGTAGTTTTGTGTTTTACATTAGTAGCTAGAAAGGTGTTGATAACACACCAGTGTTCTGGTGACTGCTGAGCAGCGCTCGCACAGCATCAGGGCTGGCTCTCTAATGTTTCCAGTTGGCTGGGGGTGGGAAGGATCTTGGGAGGGGTCAGAGCCAGGGCAGCTGACCCAAACTGACCAAAGGGATATTCCGTACCATATGACATCTGCTCAGAAATAAAAGCAAGGAGAATGGATGGTGGGGGGCATTCTTTATTTATGTTTGTCCTCTGGAGCAACTGCTGCGCATACTGAAGCCCTGCTTCCTGGGAAATGACCATTGTCTGCTGATGGGAAGTAGAGAGTAAATATTTTGTTCTTCTTTTGTTTCCACACATGCAGCTTTTGCTTTGTGTTTCTATTAAACTCCCTTTCTCTTGGCCCATGAGTTCTTTCTTCTTTTTTTTTTTCCCCATCCTGCTGAGGAGGGGTGTGATAGAGCAGCTTGGTGGGCACCTGGTGTTCAGCCAAGGTCAACCTACCACATAGTGTGCTTTGAGGGAACCATAGCATCTTAGTGTTATGTACGTGTTATGTACCTTTGCGTGTCTGCTTATTGCACTGCATGTGCCAACAGCTCCTTTTTGGGAATGCACACTTCTACTTAGATTTCCACCACTGACAAAAATACATTATTGGTTGTTTCTGATTCTACTAAATGTACATCTCCATTGTAGTCAGCTCTGGCAGTTTCTTGAGTAAGAATATATGTGAAGTGTTCTTGCTTCTGAGGGGTTCTTGTTGGGGAGAGCTAGGAGAATAAAACACCTTTTACTATATTGCATAGTATTGTGAACCTTAATATGGTGTTTTCCAGGGTATGGTCTCTCCCTTCTCTTAAGACCTAATCTTGTTTGAGAAGAGCATATGTCTAACTGCTCAGCAAATACAGATTGTTAATCGTGTAGCCATATAGAGTTGTATAACCTAATTACATTTTCTTAAAACTTATCACCTGAGCTTGAAAAATATTACTTCATATTATCACCTACCACGACTAGTTTGAGGCATCTGCTGGTTGGTATATACATTCTTTCTTCCAGTGTCATGTGAACCATCAGTGTAACTCTTATTTTTCTGGTTAGAATGGATAGATAATATGAGTTAAGAATATTTTTGCCCTTTGTTTCACATGCTAGTAGTATTGCCAATATGATTTTTTAATTATTATTTATTTATTTATTTATTTTAGGATTTGAGGCTTACTATTTCAGCTTACACTTTTTTGGCCTACACGGTATGCATTAATATTTGTATTATCCAATTTTCTAAAATTTTCTGAAATTTCAGGTGTTTCTCTAAGGACTGGGATGTTACTGAGTACGGAGTGTGTGAACTGGCTGATATTATATCAGAAATTCCAGATACAACCATCTGTTTGTCACAGCAAGACAATGAAATGGTAATTTGTATTCCCAAAAGAGGTATGTACATTTAGATATATTTTTTTTTACTGTCACTAAAGAAATTGTTCTTTGCCTATTTTAAAAATGTACCAACGAAAGTATGTAGGAGTGACTTCAGTGTTTCAGTCTGCATAACTAAGTTATGACCTTTTAGCAAATAAAGAATTTGTCATTCTAGGAACACTTATAATGGAACAGACAGGAAAGCAGGTGGCAAGACATATAAAACAATGTTTCTATTTTTGCATGTAGTTAAACTTTCTGTGGAATGATTAAAGTATGGGTTGTTTCCTCACAGCAAAAATACCAATGTCTTTGGCTATTTAATATTTTCTAAAGTGCTTATCACCTGATTATTTTGGATTTTAGACATGTAAGCTTAGTAAAGGTCTTCAGTGCTAGAAGAAAATAGCATATTCATGTGATATGCAGTTAAGCTGAAAATCAATCACCGTGTTTTCTTTTTATGTTCTGTTGCATTTTATAAGTGCGTTGGTACATAGCTCTTGCTTTGTTTTTTAATTTTAGAACGTACACAAGAAGAAATTGAAAGAACCAAACAATTTTCTAAAGAGGTAGTAGACTTACTGCGCCATCAACCTCATTTTCGAATGCCCTTCAATAAATTTATTCCATCTTATCACCACCACTTTGGTCGTCAGTGCAAACTTGCTTACTACGGTTTTACAAAACTACTTGAACTCTTTGAAGCCATACCAGATGTCTTACAAGTAAGTTCTAAAATCCTAAGCTCTAAAAAAGGTTAATAACTATTTAATTTCCTATTTTGTTGTAGTTCAGAAATTACATGGTTTTACTTGCTATATAGATACCTTTTTCAGGTAGCTGAGCCCTACTACTTAGCAAATGAATGCCTGCAAGCACTGAATCGCAGTTACAAATTACACTTTTTAAATCCAGACTAGGTAAATCACTTCAACAACATGTAACTTCTCACTTTTAGGTATTAGAATGTGGGGAGGAGAAGATTCTCACACTCACAGAGGTGGAACAAGTCAAAGCAGTTGCTGCCCAGTTCGTTAAACTGCTGAGATCTCAGAAAGACAACTGCCTTATGATGACTGATTTACTGACAGAGTACAGTAAAACATTTGGATACGCACTGCGTCTTCATGACTATGACGTTAGCTCAGTTCCAGCTTTAATGCAAAAGCTTTGCCATGTTGTAAAGGTAAACTTTTATCTTTGTAGTTTATCCCCCTAAAAGGTATGCAATATTGTGTTAAGGAATTTCCTGTCTCAAATTGCAGGTCTGTGTGCTTAATGTTGTACTCTAGAAACAATATTTCATTAAGTCAGGGGGGTGGAGGGGAGCTGAAATTCCAAAGGTGTTTTAAATATAGCTTCTATATTCCTATGATGATGTCCCTATTTTTTTTGTAACTTTTCAACTTTCTCTGGGAAAACTCATGGTTGTTTAGCAAATAACAAGTAGAAAATTGTGTTATAGTACTTTATTTTAACAATACAAATTTATTTTTTCCCCACTTCTAACTGTATCTATAGGTCAGTGTAAAAGAAAGGTTACATCTACATGGACATACTGGCTTAGTTGCTCTAATTCTGTTAATTTAGTGACTGGTTTTCAGGCTGGAGCTCAGTCAGATCTAGCTGGCTTGGAACAAAGTATAAAATAATGTTTACCATGTGGACAGAAACTACTACACAGCTTTTGCATATTTAAAGTAAATTTTTTTCCATGTGGTAAGTTTCTTCATCCTGTGTGGTTTTGACTAGGGAACTATCAGGTGCTGGCATGTAATATCAGATACATCTGTGCTCAAACAAACCCCAGCTACTCAACTTATTTATAAATTAATCTCTTCCCTGTCCCTAACTTCATTCACAATTCTTTCTAGGTTGTTGACACAGAATCTGGCAAGCAAATTCAGCTGATAAATAGAAAATCTCTGCGAACTCTGACTGCCCAGTTGCTGGTCTTGTTGATGTCCTGGGATGGAACATCCTTTCTTTCTGTTGAGCAGCTTAAACAGCATTATGAAACAATCCATAGTACTCCGCTTAATCCGTGTGAATACGGATTTATGACCTTAACTGAACTCCTGAAGAGTCTGCCTTACTTGGTTGAGGTATGTAAGCTTTTTTCCTTCCTGATGCTTTTCACACTTTGAAAAGACATTGTGACTAGAGGATACAGAAGCCTGTGCTACAGTTCTTTCTCATTTTCTTTTTCTAATAGGTTTTTACCAATGGTGCAGCAGAAGAATATGTGAAGCTTACAAATCTGTATATGTTTGCAAAGAATGTAAGGTCCTTACTTCACACTTACCATTATCAGCAGATTTTTCTTCATGAGTTTCCAGTAGCATATAGCAAATACACAGGAGAAGTGCTGCAACCTAAAGCATATGGATGCAATAATTTAGAAGAGCTCTTGGGAACAATTCCACAGGTGTGAAGAACTGTTTTGCACAACTACACTGAGATTTCTGCATGGACTAAAAATAGTAACATAACTGTAGTTTCTGTTAGTTGGTGTGAATTACTGGAATAATTACCTTCTCCAATGAGGCTTATACCAGTTGTACTTTTAATAGATTATGGGAAATCTGGACTGTGTAATAAGAAAAAGAAAGGGATTTTTTTACATGTTTTGGTCAAATTTTGCTTAAGAACTGTTCCTGGTGAGGTCACAAACATCCTTGGCATCTTTATCAAGTGAGATTATTGATTTTTGTCTTGAGTGAATGAACAGCAGTACAGTACTGAAGTTTCATTTTGATCAGATAAAGGTAGATTATTTGTTTTAAGTGTGAAGAGTTGTGGGACCTTGTCAGAAGTGGAATTAGTAGAATTTTGCTGTGGCATCCTCTTGTTCTCCGCATGTTCTAAGTGCTCTTCCTTTCAGTAAGTTAATCTTTCTGGAGAGTAACAAAATGGAATTTGGCAACCCCATGTTTCAGCATATAGTTTTGTTAATATATAGTTAGTCTGCTTTCTAGCCCTGTAGTTTCTTTGTATTAAAGTAATTCATGCCAAAGCTTTTACTTGGGTAGTGTAGTACAAATTAGCAACGTGATTTAGTTTACTTTCAAAAATAACGTCAGTGCAAGGCTAGATGAAGGGCAGTGAGGCAACTGCTTTAGGTTTTGGGGTTAGTATATGCTGATGTTTATTTCTGCTTTTTTTTGTTTTGTTTTCTCTGTAGGTGGTCTGGATTAAAGGACATGGCCATAAGAGAATTGTGGTACTAAAGAATGATATGAAAAGTAAGCCATTTCAATTTTAAGCAGTGTCTTAGTTTCCTTTTTTCTTCTTTTAAGAGGTGACTTGAGTAAATGAACCCAATGAACTTGCCTTTTTGTAGCTCGTTTTAGCTCACCTAGTTTTCCCCCTGCTGATCATGTGGATGATCATGGAAATCAGCTTGCTGACAATAATGGACATATTATGGAGACCCCAGGACCCACTTCATCAATGGAACTAAGTCTAGGAACACCTAGCAATGGTAATGCAAAATTGATTTATGTAAGAAATTTATTATCTTAGGGGAAGTAAGCAGAGTAATTGAAGCAGCATGGGGAAAGCTGAACTTCTGTAGAAATGCTTTATGGCTCGAAAGCTGTTGAACTTGTCCCAAAATACATAGTTAGGCATGTGTCCTCTTGATGAGGGCATCTGTTGTCCTCAGCTGACAGTGTATATATTGCTGCTAGAGTACTGTTTACCATGGATTTTAGTGGAATTTTGAGTCTGTAAGCACAAAGCTAATGAGAAAAGATGGTCAGTAGCAGCTTTTGCTAGGAATGTCTCCTGTACTCTAAGAATATAGCATTATCTCTTTTGGTGGTGTTTCTATGTTGATTTTGTCATTACTTATTTGCAGATAAGGGCTATAACTCCTCTGTACTTCTCAGTCTCTTTTAAATAAAGCAGAAGAGTACAAATAGAAACCAATGGATCCAGCATATGATGCACTAAAAGGAACACAAATTTGAAGGCAGGATCTCCCTAATTCAGAATTCTCCCCTATGAATTCAACTTACTCAATGCTTTTCTTTTTACTGGGGACAGACTTTTTAGCAGGGCCTGTAGCGATAGGACAAGGGGTGATGGTTTTAAACTAAAAGAGGGGAGATTTAGACTAGATATAAGGAAGAAATTTTTTACAAGGAGCATGGTGAAACCCTGGCCCAGGTTTCCCAGAGAAGGTGGTAGAAGCCCCATCCCTGGAAACATTCAAGCCCAGGGTGGACGGGGCTTTGAACAACCTGATCTGGTTGAAGATATCCCTGCTCACTGCCGGGGGGGTGGACTAGATGACCTTTAAAGGTCCCTTCCAACCCAAACCAGTCTGTGTTTCTGTGAAATAATAGTGGCAGTCCTATTGGTATAAATCTGTCTCCAAATAAAAATAACTGGGAAATGGTAACCTCACAGTTCATATCTTGCTGTGTTCTCCAATTTGTTTACTACCTGCAGGATGGAGAACTTGTGGAATGGTTCTTGGTTTATTATTTCAGAAGTCCTGACTTGTCCCTTTTAATAAGGGCAAGTCACTTTCTTTTGATACTTTCAGCTTAATTTTCATATGTAAATGTGTGAGATGATACATAAATAGTTGATAGGATACTGACTGGTATGTCTGCATGGGAGTTGTCTGGTAACTGGCCCTTCTCTGTTAAAGACTGTTCCTTGTTCCTGTAGGACTTGTTTCCTCAGCTCTTCCTCTGTTACTCAAGTTTGTGATTTTACCATAGGGGTATGTTTACTCAGGCAAGCAGTATGTTGAACATACTATTGCTTTGTCTGCTGTATTGTAACTAGTTAAATGCTCTTGATCCAGCAAAGTAACTGTTGAATGAATCTGAGGTTAGTTAGCAGTAAATTAGTTTGATATTTGTATTTCAAATATGGTATAGTTCTCAAATCCTCAGCATCCCATCTGAAGACTTTACATTTACCAGATGAGATAATGACACCTTCCCAGCTTACAGATACTTTGAAAGATGTTTCCTTATTTTGTAGTTTCTAATCAAACTGAGCAAGAACTTCTTTGCCTCACAAATACATCTCCTGTTGACCTCTTGTGTGAGCCAGTTCCTTCCTGCCTACCATCCCCACAACTGAGACCTGATCCAGTGGTTCTTGAGTCTGCAGACCTCATTCAGTTTGAGGAACGCCCTGCACCTCTCTCTGGTAAGAGTTTGCTTACCTGTGTTGTATTAGTTATGGATGATAACTCATACAATTTGGAAAATAAGGCATCAAACAAATGGTTGATTATATAAAGTTATATTTAAATACATACACATATGTATATACATTGCACAACAGGATGTGCTGGAAATTCAGGTGGCTTCCATCAGAAACTCTTGAGTACTGACCATAAGTACCCTGCTGTGATTCCCTGGGGTGAATTCTATAGGGATTTTATCCACCACTAAAATTGCATTTTGCCAGCCCGTAGCATCCTTTTCGGCACAGTAATTTCATAGTGCTTTTCTGAGCACTGAGAGACTCAACATGTCAGAATTAAGTTAAACTTTCTAAATAATGCATGATGCAGACAGAGCCAGAAGCAAACATCGCATCAGCTGCAGAGGTGAACATGACACATCATCTGACTTCAAATCAGGCTGACAAGTTCTTTTAAAATATTTTATTACCTATTACAAGAGAAGTATTTCCTTTTTAAGAACAGAGCATCAATAAATTGAGTTGTCTTATTTATTTTAGAGATAATGATTTTAACAGAAGAAGAAAAACAAAGAATTGTTACCACAGCTCAAGAAAAATTGACCTCTGGTTCTGTAGTACCTAACACCACAGAGAATGCTTCAGTGTCTCCCTGTCAGTCCACTGAAACCCAGCTAAACAAGGAAGCAATGGACAGCCCAGTCAAAAAGCAACACAAAAACAAGGTGAAATTGGCAGCAAACTTTTCACTTGCACCTGTAACCAAGCTTTAACTCTTTCTTTTTAGTATGAAAGACAAATACCTATGGACTCTGCACAAAGTAAAGCTGTTTGCTAGCCCTTATGTATTTTAATGAAAGGCCTAGAAGAATTAATTTGTATTTAATGTATTCTGTGAAGATTTTGTTCCTTTTACACTGAACACAACTGTTAGCAGAGCAGACTTTTTTCTATTATTTTGAAAAAAATTCTGGCATTCGTTAAATTATTCTTAAATTTTACAGTTTTTCATAAATGTGTGTTCAGTAGAAGCAAAATATTAATTCAGTTAAAATGGAACAGATTTTTATTTTCTTTAAGCCTCCTCGTTAGTGCTGTAATCATACATGTAGCATATTGTATTCTATAGGCTGTTGCTTACTGGTATTGTTTAAGACAGTATTAATAAAATGCATGATCTGTCTTTCAAAAGCCTGTTGAGAAATTTAAACTTGCTGACTTGAAATGATAAGAGTGATGGATTTGATTGTACTCCAGAGGAGAAACTTGTTCTCTGACCTTTCAGATGACTTGTAACTGCATTGGAAATTCTTCTGTCTAAAGATGTCTGTAGAAGATTATGCAGATTTTTTGTAAAACTTCTTTTAAATGTTTTCTGTAGCTTTCAGTTCCATTTAGGAGCTTTCTAGGATGTTGATGCTTTAAGCTTCCCTTTTATATTTAGTTCCAGTCTGGCATGGATTTGGTTAAGGAAAAAGACAGTCTTGGTGTCATGAGTTTGATACAGACACACACATTTTATTGTGTCTAGAAATGAAGTTAGGAAGATTCTGATATTTCTGAAATATGCATTTAATGCATAAATTACAGATAATGGAGCAGGTCTTATTTAAAATGTTTCGTGATGGAAGGTATTGATGCTATTTCCACCTGTAAGGAAAGTTCTAACTACATGTGGAAATGCTAAGGTTGTTCTGCTTAACCTTGTTTTCTATTTTTAAGCATGTTCAGTAAATGGGGAGCTTATTCTTTGGTGTGTTGTCTTTTTAGCTGTGTCTGTTTTTATTCTAAAACTTACTCCTGGTGTTGGAAGCACTTTTCAATTTGTGGTGTCTTGTGTTGGCTTTTGAAAGGGCCAGCTTTGGAAGGAGAGGTTAAGTCAGTGGATGACCTTAACTCTAGTTAGCAGAGATGTCCAGTGTATGAGACTTTATACCCATTCTGGGTAACCATGGCATTTACAATGGGTTGTATTTGCCAGGCAGCAAATAAATTGCTTGTAGTATTGAAAGAACGTATACTAGAGGTTTTCCACTGGCCAACTGAATATTTTTTTAGGTGGATTCTATTGTAATATACAAGAGATGGAACATGGGCTCTAATTTCTCAGCCAGCAGCAGGAAATGCCACTGAATAATGGCTATAGACAGAATTTTACTAGTCAGATTTTGTTATAAAATCTTTTAAATTTAGGTGAGTATTACCAGTAGTGAACTTATAGCCATTGTGAATGCAGAGAAACACTTGGAAGTTTTTCTGAGCATTATGGCACAGTATTTTGAGTCCTTAGTGAATCTCTACAGACTTATTGCTATAGAAAGAAATTCAGAAGTAAGCTTTCTTGCAATGCTTTTAATGAATTAAATACAAGAACACCTGTTTTCACCTTAAGTTTGATAAGGTTAACATTGATCAGTCTAGATCTTTGTTTCAGAAGAGCATGCATTGGAGAAAAGACCAACATGAAATTTTATTTTCATGAGATGCAACTACAAGTCATCTGGAGTACTACAGAAAACCAGGTTTTTGCTTCAGAGGAAAAGACAGTGTTTGTCAAAGTGAGTGTGGTGGTTACACTATTTCTGGAGGTCAGCATATCTTTTTCTGGATTCACGTGTGATTCTGATGAAATTGCTGTTTGAAAGTACTAGAATAATACTTTTGAGAAGTTGTGTTCATAGTGTAACAAAATAGCTAATTGAATTGCAATATATTTTTTTATCCAAAGGGTTAAAAGAATGATGTGACTTACAGATATAAAAGCATTACAACCATGAAATTCTTTAATTTAACAATTAAATGTACTACTTTGGATTCATGTCTGTTTAAAAAAAAAAAAATGTCACTGAAGGCCTCAATTTATGCACTATCTTTTTCTTGGAGTGGGAGGAAGAAGGAAAAAATTCTTTTCTTAGCTGTCTACTTTGTTTGGACACTTTCTTTTTGTGGCTCAAATGCTGTTTTGTGTGTTGGGACCAAACAGTTGCGTCAATAAAATTTTCAAGCAAGCATAACTCTTGTCTTTGTCTGACAACCTGAAAAAAACCTGCCCTAGAATCCCTAACTTGCTGTGTCATATTAATTTTAATTATCCAGACAGAGCAGAGAGCTAAAATTTGGGATTTAGTGAAGACAAAAAACCCCCACTGTAAATCCACAACCTGCTATTCTGGAGAATGAGGGCTTTCCTAATTTTAGCAATGCAGCTGTTAGCAGATGTACTCAGTATCTCTTACAGCTCTTCATACAACATAATGTTGAGGGTTTATTTTAGAAAGAAACTGTACTATTTATCAGCCTAAAGAGAAAAATTAAGAAAGTGTAAATGCAATAGGTAGAAGTAAGGTGTTCCTTCTGAGTTTTAGTTTCACTTTGAAATGTTAAAAATTGATGTGAATAATGTCATATGGAGTGTTACTGTGCAATAAAGTTAACAAGTCACTTCTGAGTTATAATTGCCTTGTTTTCCAGCTTGCTGAAGATAGTAGTTATCCAGGAACTACAAGCCTGGCAAGCAAGTTACTTTGCAGCTTCACTAGAGAGCTTTGAATTTTACTTCAGAATCTAACAAAATAATTAAAGAAAATAATCTGCAACTAAATTGGACTGTTTTGTCATCTCACAGCTTTTTGGACAAAAGTAAAGAGCTGGATGAGCTGCTCCTGACTCTCTTTTTTTTTTGTGATCTTATTAAATATTCTCACTTAATGGAACTGTAAGTGGAACAGTCTGCTAGAGTGAGTGTCAGGCCTGCCACAGGTAAGTGTTCAGTGACCTTGAGGGTACTTCCTTGTTCAGTAAACAACTTTAAAGTAACTACCTAAAAAACTTATTTAGCAGAAAACTCTTTGTACATAGTGTAATAAATACTGCTCTTTAAAAGGAGGAGGCAATTTATAAAAACTTTCTGCAGCATCTTAAGCAGTACCACAAACTGTATAATTACCACTCTGAAAGAATGAAATTACGGTAGTTGTGAATGTTTTAATGATGCATGAGTAAAATACTTCATACCACCTGGTATGTGATTACCTTCAAAAGGTGAGTTTGATTTTAATTGTTCCTTTGTTATGCTGCAGACGTGCCCTCTTCTTTCATTCTCATTTTATGTTAAGCCATCTGTTTAAATTAGTAAAAAACTTTTAAAAGTCATGATGGAAATAACTCTTTTCCCTAAAATTATCATGGCTTGTTTTGTCTGCCATAATGTAACAGGACAGAGTGTAATTGCATGGTGAACTATGGTTTCATTTCTATTAACTGTAAGTGGGGAAAAAAAAACCCAAACACAAAAATGGAGACAGTTGGGCATAATGCTAGAGGAGAGCATTAGGGAGGTGACTGACTTGGTTGATGTTTCAGGTGTAATGGCAGGAAACATGACTGCCTAAGAGAACAGAGAGCATAAGGCTGCATTGTAAACTTTGAAGTTCTGACCAGAGGAGCTGACAAAAGGCTTTTCCCTCTGGACAAAGCAAAGCTATTGGGTGTTAAAGAGTAAGACAGTAATCTTTCTATAGAGTAGGCTGAGGACTTTGGTTTTGCCATAAAGGACAGATTGCTTTCTGTATTCTAGATAGTCTGAGGACTTTGGTATGGAGAAAAAAACCTGACTGCTTGGAAGAAAAAAGGGCCTTGCTTTGCCTAGACAGCTGTTTACAGAAACATGAGCAACTGAAAACTGAATGATACTGCTTATCAGTCTGTGGGAGAAACCCTTTTCATCTTTCCACTTAATTTCTTGCCTCTGACACTTGAAATGTGTTGTGTCTTTGTAGCTAACCTTTTTGCAGTTTGAATATTTAATCTGTTTTATGCCTTTGAAAATGAGAGTTTGAAAACCTTGGCTTTAAGTGATTTCTCATTCAGAGCTTGACCTTGATACCTGTGGCCTTAGAAAGTCAGAAGCTGATGTACTTTAAGGTCAGCATTTTATTCATGTATACTGTGATGTCTTACAGTGGATGTATACTATGAAACAATTGAGATACCTAGAGATCTTTCAGATATTTTCCCACATTGAGTTGATACTTGTTCAGAGGATGACATACAATGTCTATTCTTCCAGTATTCCTTCTTGTATGGACTGTTTCTATACCTATACCTATGCTACAGGAAGCAGACCGATATAAGAAATTTGAGATGCCACTTCAAGGTATTATTTCTGAGCATTTTCTTTAGAGTTAAAAAAGCTTCTCTAGGATAGATCAGTTTTTAAGGCCTTTTTTAGATGCTACACTAGGCCTATTTAATTCTTAGCTGTCCTGTATCTAGAATAACTATCTAAGAAAGGGGTTTTGTTTTGCATCTCAGCTAATTACCACTGACAATGTTGCATTTATTTTCCCTGAGCATTTAGATACTTTGGCTATAAGTAGTGACAAGCTTGACAAAAGAAGCCTGACATGCTGGTTGCACTTAAAGGGAGAGCTGTTCGAGGTGCAGATTGGTGCATTTGAAGACATCTCAAACTTAAGCTCAAGCTCTTAGGACAGGATTCTTAAATGATGACTGAGGTTGTTGCCAACAGAGTTGGGATAAAGAAGATAGTATGGATATTGTGCAGTGAGACCTAAGCACCTTATCAGACTGCAGGTAAGTAATACAATTTTTCCTGAAGAGTATGTGAAGGGAATTCAGAGAAAAACAATCTTAAGTTGTGCACAGGGAGGGAGAGGAGCAGTTCATACGATAACCCTGTAACCAGAGATTGCTTTCACATTTTCTGTTGTGTTTTTTTAATGGTGTGGGAAGGGAATGTGAGGGTGGAATATGACAAGTATGTGGAAACTTCCAGGATGCTCTCAGAGAGTGCTGGGATGAAATAATAAACTAATTAGGGAAGGAATAAGAAAACTTACTGAAAACAGTATCTCTAAAAGCTTGTGGTCAGTATCTTGAAGGATCCATAATCCTGCAGGACTTTCAAGATATTCTGGACTTTGTCCAAAGCATAGGTAATATCTGCAGGAATAGTAACAGTGCAGTAGCAAGATGGTAGGTAGATACAGAAATTTCTTGCCTTTATTAGGGCAACTTACCACCTGAAAAGTTGATACAATTTTTCCTGAAGAGTATGTGAAGGGAAGCAAGATGGTAGGTAGATACAGAAATTCCTTGCCTTTATTAGGGCAACTTACTACCTGAAAAGTTGTGCAAGGTGTTTCTGCACCAAAGTGATCTTCC